ATATTTCTAACTTCAGATCATCCTAGCGGGCAATGGGCTCATGCAGCAGCCCCTTTTGGTTTCTCTGCCTCCCACTCATGCTGTTTTCTCAGTTTTATTTAATTGGAGGAAGGCCATAGTACGACATGACTTGCACTACACAGGTACAAAAGGATTCGAAACTTAATTCTCTTGTACTTTGCATCTGGGTGTGGAGGCAAATCAAGGCGTTAGCTATCTCCTGCCATAGGTTGTTGGTCTCTTCACGTATTGGCTGGAATATTGCACCCAAGGGCAGTTGCTTGTGGTGAAAGTTCAGGTTTGGACAGCTGTGCGCTTTAGTGAGGAAATTAGTGAAGTCTACCCCCTCTATAGATATGGAAAAAGAAAGTCCGAGTATTCAGATAATGCAAGCCAAACGTTCCTCATTTCCATAATCCATGCTGATTTTAAAATGGACGCTTTGGATCTTGCTATTCAGGTAAGGAATTAATATCTGGCTGAAACAGAATTGTGAATGTTTAGGTTTTCAAAGGGGTTTGCATTAGCATTGAGCCGGCAGTTTGCTATTACGGCCCTCAGGGAATGATTCCAGTTTGGAATTTAAAAGGATTCTTTCCTGCCTGGATTAGTGGGAATGTTACTGTCGTTTAGTGGGTGCCTTGTTAAAGAGTGTTTAAGTTTCTTTTTCTTTACTGCCTTAATGTAATGAATAAGCCAGTCCACTTGCTTAAGAGTGAATAATGCCTAAATCTGATGTATGATTCTGATTTTTACCTGCTAGCAACTTTTATTAAAGAGATTAGCCAACGAAATGTTAATTGCTGCTTGCTAGGTTGCTCGAAAGAGATCGTTTGCTGAACCAGTTTGGTTGGAAGGGGTTGGTTTGAGGACTGCAACGATTCTGAAACATATTTCCACTTACGAAAGCTCTTAAAGCTTTTCTTGTGTCAGAAGTATGGGCATGTTTTGTGTTTGTCTGGTGGGCACATACCAATATGACTTATTATATCTGCCAGGACACAGATAATCTTAATGAAGTATAAGTCAAGTATAAATCTATTCTGAAGATAGTCAAGATAAAGGATACAGATTTTTACGTTCATGTACGGGAAAGCAATAGATCTTTGCTACATTTTCCAGCTAGTGAATGGAGCAAATCTGTGGCATTTATTTTCTGTCTTTCCCTTTCTAAAGAAAACTTTTTGGCCTGTGTCTGAGAGCCTCTAGCTTTATTTGGAGGAGCGTTAAATGGGAAATAAATCAAAAGCAAGACAGACACTGTACCTTTGCTGCAGTTTTGAATCCATTTTATTCTTCCTTCATTCACTCTAGATCTTGGAAAAGCTGGCTTCGCATTCCAGTGAGTATTTAATTGCTCAACGAATGAGTGCAGGTTACGACAACGGGCTGGGTATTCTGCAGTTGCAATCCTTAGCTTAATTTTCAATGCTTTCCTGCTTGATGAGTCACCTTTGTTAGGAAAGCAAAGGTACACATGGGTTAACCTTGACCAGGAAGCAAGCACCTGCAGGCCTTGCATATGAGCAGAAAAGTTTCTGGGCTCTGAAAACACCTATCCCCTCCGATGTTGACTTTGGTGATACACGTAGTCCAGGTTGGTCAAATTTTTTTCAGAGTTCACATGAAAAGCTCTGGGTGAAGGAAAGCGATTACATTTTTATACTAAAAACCCCACTGAAACATTGGGTGAGATTCTAAATTTACACCCCTAGACTCTGCATGTTGGTGTATCCTCTCTGACTTTCTTCACAGTGTCGTGGTTTAACCCGGCTGGCAACTCAGCAACATGCAGCCGCTCGCTCACTCCCCCCGCAGCGGGGCAGGGGAGAGAATCAGAGGAGTAAAAGTGAGAAAGCTCGTGGGTTGAGACAAAGACAGTTTAATAGGGAAAGCAAAAGTTGCGTATGCAAGCAAAGCAAAGAAAGGAATTAATTCACCACTTCCCATTGGCAGGCATGTGCTCAGCCATCTCCATGAAAGCAGGGCTCCATCCCATGTAATGGCTACTTGGGAAGACAGACGCCATCACTCTGAATGTCCCCCCCTTCCTTCTTCTTCCCCCAGATTATATACTGAGCATGACGTCATATGGTCTGGAATAGCCCTTTGGTCAGTTGGGATCAGCTGTGCTGGCTGTGCCCCCTCCCAGCTTCTTGTGCAGAGCTGAGAAGTCCTTGCCCAGTCTAAGCACTACCCAGCAACAACTAAACCATCAGTGAGATATCAACATTCTCATACTAAATCCAAACCACAGCACCATACCCGCTACTAGGGAGAAAATTAACTCTGTCCCAGACAAAATGAGGACACACAGCAGCTGATAGGTTGCTTCATCTTACTTACATATTTCTCTCCAAGTATCCAAACTTACTTTTTTAACTCATGTACAGCAGGTGAATTCCACCCATTGCTGCCCTTGCTGACTATATGGGCCTGGAAAAATAATTAGGCAGCCATGTGTTATGTAGGTCAGGAATTTCCAAAGCTGAATCCATGGTTTCAAATGGCACCTGCATCTGCTCATGTTAGGAGCGTGTAAGCATTTTATTCAAAGCAGGGATGATGTAGAAATTTATTTTTTTGCCTTCTGGCACTGTTGAAGATCCTTTCTAGAGATCCTAGCTTCTTCCTCCAACTAACGACGACAACACAAGTTTTGACCAAGCAAGGGCGAGTAGGAGAAAGAACATGTGAAGTTTCAGTGCACAGTAGATGCTTTCTGGCAGGACTTGGAGGTGAACGAGCTTTTTAAAGGCTGCTGTGTGCCTCATGGTCTCACCAGCCTGAAGTTAGACACATCCTATTGGGTTTAGATTTAGCCTCACATCACCTAGAAAAATGGTGCTGTCCTGGCTAGAAGTTTCATGGACCCTTGGGGACCAGGCCTGTGAAGTGCCCTTAAGATCCAGCATAGTGTCCTTCTAAGTCTCTCAAAACCACCTCTTTTTTCGCTGTTGACCAAGCGTAAGTCTTAGCATCACAACTTAATCGATTGACTTCCATTAAAAGCGGCTTATTCAGTCATTTTCCTAATTTCCCTCAAAGGTACCTAAATATCGCAAGGATTTGCCCTTGTGGCACTCCGTGTACAGCGATCTATAGGGCAATGTATGGCTCTAGTTTGATTCTCTCTTCCCATTTTGTCTTCTGTGCTTGAAAAGATTACAGGAACCTGGTAAGATTTGCTTATTGATGTCCTACAAAACTGCAAGGCGATGGGCTCCAGGTATCGGAAGGCACCAATGGTTCACATCTTTATTATCCTACAGATAATTCACTCAGTCACAGGTAAATCTTTTTTTTCTAATCACGACTTGATTTTAAAAGTTATCTAATTCCCAGGGCTAGCGGGTAGATCTAGAAGTAAAAAAAAGGTAGATCATAGAATCACTAAATTGTTTAGGTTGGAAAAGCCCTTTAATATCATCAAGCCAAACTGTTCCCCTAACCCTGCCATCCTACCACTAAGCCCTGTCCCTCAGCACCTCATCTGCCCGGCTTTTAAATACCCCCAGGGGTGGGGACTCAACTCCTTCCCTGGACAGCCCATTCCAGTGCCTGACAGCTGTTTTGGGGAAGGAATTTTTCCCAATGTCCAACCTTAACCTCCCCTGGTGCAACTTGAGGCCATTTTCCCTTGTCCCATCGCCCATTACCAGGTAGAAGATGCTGACCCCCACCTCGCTACAGCCTCCTTTCAGTTGTAGAGTGCGATAAGGTCTCCCCTCAGCCTCCTTTTCTCCAGACTAAACAACCCCAGTTCCCTCAGCCACTCCTCATAAGATTTGTGCTCCAGACCCCTCACCAGCTTCGTTGCCTTTCTCTGGACATGCTCCAGCCCCTCCATGTCCTTCTGGGAGTGAGGGGCTCAAAACTGAACACACTATTCAAGGTGTGGCCTCACCAGTGCCCAGCACAGGGGCACGGTTGGCTGCCCCCCCCCCCCCTGATACAAGCCAGGATGCCAGTGGCCCTCTTGGCCACCTGGGCACCCTGCTGGCTCATATTCATCCCCCTGTTGACCAACACCCCCAGGTCCTTTTCCGCCTTGCAGCTTTCCAGCCACTCTGCCCCATGCCTGTAGTGTTGCATGGGGTTGTTGTGACCCCAGGGCAGGACCTGGCCCTTGGCCTTGTTGAACCTCATACATGTTGGGGGCGGGTGGGGGTTGGCAATGCATATTTTATTTGCAATATATTTGTGGTGATACCTGTTTTTTATATATATATAGTAGACACTCACCATTCCCTCCACTAATTTTCTGAAGCCAGAAGCAAATAGTGGCATGATGTGAAATCTTAATACACTTCTGTCGGTGTGGATGGCACACGGCAATATTAAAGACTCACTTAAACCTTCAGCATGGGGTTATAAACAGATTCACAGGCTCCCTCCCCCCGACTGTTTTTCAGGGAGCTTCCTTTCTCATTTTTGGAGTAATTTTTCAGCTTGGCTGACCATGTCACTGAGAAAGCCCAGGTTCCTTTTTGTATCTGTGATGGTTTGACCTTGGCTGGACACCAGGTGCCACCAAGCCGCTCTATCGCTCCCCTATTTAACCAGACAGGGGAGAGAAAAGTAGACGGAAAAGCAAGAAAACTTGCGGGTCAAGATAAAGGCAGTTTAATAAAAAAAAGCAAAAGCAATGGCCGCGCACAATAGCAAAAGGAAAACAAGACTTTTTTCTCTACTTCTCGTTAGCAGGCGATGTCCAGCCGCTTTGCAGGAAGCAGGGCTTCAGTACGCATGGTTGTTGCTCTGCAAGACAAAATGTCATAAAAGACGCATCATAGAATCATTGAGGTTGAAAAAGCCCTTTAAGATCATCAAGTCCAATTGTTCCCCTAACCCTGGCACCCCACCACTAAACCCTGTCCTTAAGCAACTTGTCTGCCTGGCTTTTAAATCCCCCCAGGGATGGGGACTCGACCCCTTCCCTGGACAGCCCCTTCCAGTGCTTGACAGCCCTTTCGGGGAAGGAATTTTTCCCAATGTCCAACCTAAACCTGCCCTGGCGCAACTTCAGACCATTAATGCCCCCCTTCCTCCTCCTTTTCCCTTAGTTTTTTTATCTGAGCTGGCGTCATATGGTATGGAATATGCCTTTGGTTGGTTTGGGTCAGGTGTCTTGGCTACATCCCCTCCCAAGATCTTGCCCCCTTCCAGCCCACTGGTGGTGGTGGTGAATGTTGGAGACCCAGCCTGGATGCTGTTGAGGACTGCTCATCAGTAGCCAAAACATTTGTGGGTTATCAACAACTTTCTACACGCCAATGGAAAGCACAGCGCCATGCAGTTCAACCCAGTACAGTATCTCCCACCTTAGAGTAGTGAACTGAATGGGAAAGCAGGCTCTGCAAAGGGCTGTGAGTATTTTTGCTGTTAATCCTCAACACGAAGCTTGCCCTTTGTCGCTAACGACCATCATGCAACGAGTAGCCTGTGTTTGAAATGAAATGTACTTACTGTGCTGCGTTTTGATGCTGAGTACAGCCGTCCTAGTGAAAAGGTCTGAAATTCGGTGGGCAAAATCCTGCCCTTGTGAGTTCCAGCATTACAAAATGAGCTGGCCTTGCTGCGTGAGTGAGATGCCACCTCTACGGCTAGAAGGGTCTGCAGACTGAACTCCGTATTTTCAGCAGCCTCTCCCTGAGGTTGCACTATGTTCCTAGGATAAGGGGTAGTGGCGAAGGTTGGCAGAGGATGGCAGGGGCTTTCAGTTACAAAACTGTGCCTGTATATTGCAGAATCCCAGAATGGCCAGGGCTGGAAGGGCCCTCCAGAGATCACCCAGTCCAACCGCCCTGCTCAAGCAGGCTCACCCAGAGCAGGGGGCACAGGACATTGTCCAGATGGGGGTTGAATGTCTCCAGAGAAGGAGACTCCACAGCCCTCCAGGGCTTGGTCACCATCAAAGTCAAGAATTTTTTCCTCATATTCAACTGGAACCTCTTCTGCTTCAGTTTGTGCCCATTGCCCCTTGTCCTGGTGCTGGGCACCACTGAGAAGTCTGGCTCCATCCTCATGACACTCACCCTTGAGATATTTGTACGTGTTGATGAGATCCCCTCTCAGCCTTCTCTTCTCCAGGCTGAACAAGCTCAGCTCCCTCGGCCTTTCCTCATAGGGGAGATGCTCCAGTCCCCCCATTATCTCTGTTGCCCTCCTCTGGACTCTCTCTAGGAGTTCCTCATCTTCCTTGAACCGGGGAGCCCAGAACTGGACACAGTGCTTCAGATGCCATCTCAGTGGGGCAGAGTAGAGGGGGAAGACAACCTCCCTCGACATACAGACCTACAGAGATGTGATCTGATTACTGTCACAGGATATCTTCCTCCCCAATCCACTTGTCCCATCAGTCTACGCCTGCTAAACTAGGCTGTACAGAAGGAGAGAATGGAACTTGCTCTTGAGATAACGCCCTGGTCCAGAGCATTTTCTGATTTAAGGATTTATACCAGAGCAGAATAGCTCCTTTTTCTTGCATTCACATGCCTGTATATATTTCAGTTTCCTATAGGAAGTGTTAGTGAGAACATTTGTTACAGTCCTGCATCCAGCTCTGGGGTCCTCAGCACAAGAAGGACATGGACCTGTTGGAGCGGGGCCAGAGGAGGGCTACTAAAATGATCTGAGGGCTGAAGCCCCTCTCCTATGAGGCCAGTCTGGGAGAGTTGGGGGTGTTCAGCCTGGAGAACTGAAGGCTGCAGGGAGACCTGATTGCGGCCTTTCAGTACTTTAAGGGAGCCTCTAGGAAAGAAGGGGACAATCTTTTTAGTAGGGACAGCTGTGACAGGACGGTTTTAAACTGAAGCAGGGTAGGTTTAGACTGGATCTAAGGAAGAAATTCTTTACACTGAGGGTGGTGAAACACTGGCATGGGTTGCCCAGAGAGGTGGTGGAGGCCCCATCCCTGGGAACATTCAAGGCCAGGTTGGATGGGGCTGTGAGCAACCTGATCTGGTTGAAGATGTCCCTAATCATGGCAGGGGGGTTGGGCTGGGTGACCTCTAAAGGTCCCTTCCAATCCAAAACATTCCATGATTCTATGATTCTATGCTTCTATGATTATTCTATGATTCTACAACAGATAAGATTTACAATTATATTTTCTTGCAGGCTACTATAAAATTATCCCCCCTGACAAGCCTGTCATTGGAGTCATTGGAAAAGGAGTCATCTTGCCCTGCCAGCTGAAAGTTAACATAATCCCTGAGAGACTTTCCGTTCAATGGTTATTTACCAGAAACTCTCAAAAAATTGACATGACCACTTACGATGGAAAAAATACTTACAATCCAGTTCATGAGGAGGAGGCGTATGGGGGCAGGACAAATTTTTTTCAGTCTGAATTTAATAAGGGAAATGTGTCTCTCCACCTGAAGAACGTCATGCTCTCAGACAAAGGGAAATACACCTGCAGTGTCTTTTTTGAGAACTGGTATGATGAAGTGGTGGTTGACCTGGATGTGGCAGGTGAGTGGAATGGCAGCCATTTGCTATTTCTTCTTCAGTCCCGTTGTTTAACGTCAGAAAGGGCTATGGGGTACCAAGGGGGTGGATTCTGTTAAAGAATTTCACGAGTGTCTGTGTTACTCTAGGTGTGCATTTATTCACAATTTAGAGCTGGGCCATCACCTCAGTGAGTGGCAAATGAGAATCACAAACATAACACTTGATATATCTTTCCATCATAATGGCGTAAAGAGTTTCCACAGTGTTCACAATTCCTCATTTGTTTGGTCAGCTGGAAGTCCATCATTTTCCATAGGTTCTTATCATTCTCAGTTCTGCTTCTCAATCACAAAGTCCATTGGCTCATCCGTTAAAGTCTTCTTTTGGCAGACACCGTGAATATGAGGCAAAACCAATCTGAATTTTATGAACTTGACCTTAAACCTTTCCTATGTTCATCTGGGTCTACTTTTATTATTCTGTCTACATCTTGGTTTAAGATAAACTTCTCTGATTGTCTTAAAGTCTTACCTTCATCTATATCTACTGATTAATTTGGCTGGTGATTAGTCCAACCATGGAGGGGGATGTAGTGAGCAGGAGACCATGGACTGTCGAGTTTCTGCTTGCACGCCTGCCTCTTGGTTGCATTCAGAATTCAGTATCTTCATAAAATATCCACAGGATGATTAATGAAACTTAAGCAAAAGCAAAATTAACTCCTTCCTTTATCAGATTCATCTCACTTGCTCTCAGCCATGTGAAAGACTAGGCTCTGCTATGGCTCAGGCTATCTCTATTGCCAGCAGACTCTGAATAGTCATAGATGTCTTCTTGCCACATCTTACAGAGGGAGTGTAGGTAACACCTTAGCTTTAAAACGTTTAAAGGTAGGAGAGACATGAATCCTATGGTAAAAGAAGCCTGGTTTTGCAGAGAGGAAGCAACTGAGGCCTGACTGAAACTGCGTTTGGTAATGCAACCAGTTTCTTGCGCTCTTACCCTACACACCATCCCATTTTCTGTCCCATATTCCAATTTTTATCTATTCATGGTCTCATCTAACTTGGTTTTACCAACAGATTTCCCCTCAGTGCAATGCTACTTTATTTTAATTCCAGTTGCTTGTGGAGATAACAAATATCAGCCCAACGACCTTTCTCTTACCAAGACTGTAAAGGGAATTTACGTACAAATTTCCCATTTTAATGTAATACGGGAAGAGCTACTTACCAGCAATTTAATGAGAAATTGAATTTCAAATCTGATGGTTTTACACACTGCGTTTATAGATAAATCTGGGGAAGACCTTCCCACCATGTACTGTTTGGCAAGAGTATATCTTGTCTTCTGTTTGTTGGAGCCTGTTTGTTTGCTCTTGTATAGCTAAAGGTGATGAGTCTTCAGTCTTCCTGGATGGTCATGTGGGTCAGGGCATCAGCCTCACCTGCAAGTCACAGGGATGGTTTCCAGAGCCGAAAGTACTTTGGCTGAACAGCAAAGGACGGATACGGAAGGAGGAAGTGACCACCCACAGCACAAAGACTTCTTCGGGTATTTTTGATGTTGTAAGTTCCATGACTCTCGAACCAGGATCGGACAAGGAAGTCTCCTGCAGAATAGTCAATGACCTACTCAACGCAACATGTGAATCCCGAGTCCTCGTTTCAGGTAAGTGACCTCCAGGACCAATCGCTGCCAGGACCAGTTGGTAGGCTGTTGTCTCTCCCTTGATCCTAGTCTGATACTGGACACCCAGCCCAAGCACAAACGACCAGTGTTTAGATGGTAACACGATAAGAAGCTTGTCTTTATACCTTAGATTACTTATAGAGTCCTAAGATCGTTTAGGTTGGAAAAGACCTTTAAGTTCATCAAGACCAACTGTTCCCCTAACCCTGCCATGCCACCACTAAACCCTGTCCCTCAGCACCTTGTCTGCCCGGCTTTTAAATACCCCCAGGAATGGGGACTCAACCCCTTCCCTGGGCAGCCCCTTCCAGTGCTTGACAACACTTTCTGTGAAAAATTCAGCCTAATCCTGCCCTGGCACAACTTCAGACCATTTCCCCTCATCCTATCACCTGTTACCAGGGAGAAGAGGCTGACCCCCACCTTGCTACAGCCTCCTGTCAGGTAGTTTTAGAAGGCGATAAGGTTTCCCCTCAGCCTCCTCTTCTCCAGGCTGAATACCTCCAGCTCCCCCAGACGGTCCCCAGCAGCCTGGGGCTCCAGAGCGCTCCCCAGCTTTGCTGCCCTTCTCTGGACATATTCCAGCCCCTCCATATCCTGCTGGGAGTGAGGGGCCCAACCCTGACCCCAGCACAGGGGCACAGTCACTGCCCTGCTCCTGCTGGCCACACCACTCCTGATACAAACCAGGATGCTCCTGGGCACCCTGCTGGCTCATATTCAGCCCCCTGTCGACCAACAAGCCCAGCTCCTTTTCCACCAGGCAGCTTTCCAGCCACCTTTTTACATTCAAGGTACCTCTTAGCAATAAATACTAATTCAGAGTTCTTGTCAGGTGCCACCTGAGGGCACTGGGCCAGTCTGGAGAGGGGAGGAGTTAGAAGTGTCAATGGGGAGAACAAAGACCCTACAATGGTGCCAGTGTACCCAGTACCTGAGACAGCTGGTGTATGCTGATAGGAAATGCTGAGCGTCTGCTCCCATCCCCTTCTCTCTCCCTACCACCACCATGATTACTCTGAGCTTCAGGCACGTGCCTCCCTCTCGATGATTCCTAGTCAGGAAAGTAGTCAATTTTATTTCAAAAAGGGAAGAGGGGGATCCTTTTTTTTTTTCCCCCCATCTGAAATGCCACCGAAGATGGTTCTGCTTGGCTGAAAAATTCATCCCGGGGTAGCGGTGGGAATAGCGGCCTCAGAGATGGGCTGCTCAGCACCATCAAGTGGTAGCTTCTCCAAACATGCCTCAACCCGTGACAGTCTGAGTCTGAATGAGTCCATGCAGCGTAGGAGCATCTGCACATAGGCATCCAATAAGATCTCTGGTGGCCTGAGATAACTGGCAGCGCAGCACGTGGATGTTTCAGAACTCAGGGGAGACCTGCAATCTTCAGGGGTGGCAGGAAGAGACTGTAAAGGATACACCACACCTATAAATACCTTAAGGGCTATCACAGCATGGGATTTATGGGATCCTCAGACCCTCCTGAAGCAGGGTCCGAGGGTCCTGCTGGATGACAAGTTGACAATGAGCCAGCAGTGTGCCCTTGTTGCCAAGAAGGCCAATGGTATCCTGGGGTGCATCAAGAGGAGCGTGGCCAGCAGGGTGAGGGAGGTTGTCCGCCCCCTCTACTCTGCCCTGGAGAGACCCCACCTGGAGCACTGTGTCCAGTTCTGGGCTCCCCGGTTCAAGAAAGATGAGGAACTCCTAGAGAGAGGCCAGAGGAGGGCTACAAAGATGATGAGGTGACTGGAGCATCTCTCCTGTGAGGAAAGGCTGAGGGAGCCTGGGTTGTTTTGTCTGAAGAA